AGCTGCAGTTGTGTAATTACTATAATTGAGAGCTAACACATTATAAGGTTGGTTAAGTAATTTTACACCACATATTAACAAAGGATAAAATACTTTCTCCTATACTAATGACCTGTGCCCCGTGCTGTAAACTTCTTGTCATCTGCATAGAGCAGCAAGAGGATATCTTCAGACACACTGACTACGATTAAAATTGTCCATCATGTCTGTTCATGCTGTATTATAACCGCTACACATGATTAACTCCTACACTGCGAAGATATAGTTGCTGTCAATAAGTAGTAAAAGGTTATGGTACAGTGACATTGACATATGACAAACAGCACTTGCGTGGTACTCATTCATAGTATATGGATAAGTTCTCACCAAAAGTTGGTTATCCTTCTCCCTGTGTTATCGCTAGTTAATGTTTGTTCTCTGCTAACGAGGAGGGATTTTATTTGTTGGGCATCATCGTCTCATCGCCGTTAAAGCGCTGGGTATGTCTGAAAGCGCTGTCCTAAATCATCACTTTTGGAGGCCTCTGCAAGGTCTTTCCTTAGATGAGAGGAATGAATTCCATTGGATCACTGCTATTATGTGATGATATATGATCTCAGGCATGTAATGTATCCAATAGGAATTTAATAGGAAAATAAATGAAGGATTTGTGAGGTCCTATAGGCAGCAACCTATACTTCACACACTAAGTGCAAGCTACATGCCAGCTATTCGCTGACTCCCATCCGCTATTATCTCTCCTTACTTACCCCGTCGCCTCCAGTATGGCTGCTTCTTATCTTCCCTTCCCCTCTGTTACTCTCTTTTGCTGGTTAACCCGTTCGTTCTCCTTCTTTTAATTCCCTTTCATCATGTTCTTTCACATTTCGCTTTGTGTTTCTGCATCCTGTCAATACAGTGAATCCATCTTCACGATCTACTTTTGTTCTTGGTGTTTATTGGTGTCGGTGGCTTACTGGTCCACAGTCACACAAGCTCTGTCAACAAGTCACCCATTAAAAGTGAGCTGTTTCTTTATGAGGATAGGTGAAATTATACAAGTGTGTGTCTGTGTGTGTGTGCGTGCTCACCCAACTTTAAACACTGCTCATTCCAGCAGGGCACTGGGAGGTCACTGTAGATGTGCACATGCTCAGTCTGCTCCCTCACCTTTCAATAGCTCTGATTCTTAGTCATTGTTCTGTTATATTACTGAAATGTTGATGCATCCTGTGGGGTTGTTTTTACCCTTATTTTTCTATTCTTAGCTCCTTGGTCCACTCTACTTCTTTCCAACTCCTCTCTCATATTTGCATCATGTGCCTATGCTACGTTATCTCATTTTACTCTCCTGGTGAGGGATATTTATGATTTAGACTGAATTTGACAACCTTTAAATACTAAATAGATCATCATGTGCCTCATGTTTTTCTACCACATTGTACTGTTTTCTCTGCGGGTTACCATTTTAGGCCAGCAATACAATATGGCCTCCTTATTCACCAATTTGCTTGTTCGGATGTTTTGATAAGACATACCTGGTTATTCCAAATTCTATGGATAAATCTGGAGGAGACCATTCAGCTTTTGCGCATGATCTTTTTACTTTTAGATTCAGTAACATCTTTTAAATCTCTTCTCAATACTTTCAGAGACATTATTTAATGTGATGCTATGTCCTCTTTTTCTATTTATTCAGCTTTTTATTTTCATCCCCTTGTTTAAAAAGCTTCTTCTTGAATTTTTTCTTTTTTTTCCATTTTGTCTTTTTCTTCTTCCAGTTATTATTGTTATTTGGCCGACGGGTCTGTGGAAGGATTACATCTATTCCACTGCAACATCATTTGTAATCAAATAAATGTTCAAAATAAATGGATTTGGCATGACTTATATTGATCAATACGTAGCACAATAATGCAGTGTCTGTTCGAATATGAGCCGGGACCCAAATTAAATATAGATTACCAACCCCATGTCCCTACAGTAATATGTTTTCATGAGCCTCAGTCCCAGGGGAAGACACTAACTGATATTTTGATTTCAATACTAGGACGGACAAGTTGACAATCCCCCTGCAGTAATGTTATTTACAGGAAAGCACTATGTTGTTTCTGGAGTTCTGTGTTCATATTACTGTCACATCAGATTTTATCCAGAGCTGTACCGGAGCCACTTTTAGACTGTTTCTTCTACTAAGTGAATTAGTCTTCCATAATGTGCATCCTGACGGGGTAATGCTGTAATGGCTGCAGATGCTCCTTAGGAAATGGCCAAAGACACCTTGCTTTTTGCGGTCAATGACACTTGTAACCTAATTAAAGGAGGAACCACAAGCTACAACAATGGCTTTGATTAGCCATGTGGCATGGCTCTATGGATGGCAATGTCTGTCTGTCGCTCACTCCACCACGTTGGTCCTGACTGAAATATATAAACATGAATCAAATCGTGTACATACAATCATGGTCCTTAGAGGATTAACCCTGATGACTTAGGTGATCCGTTAGTGCCACCACGAGGTTGACATTTGTAGTTTTGAGTAAAAGATCTCAAATCTATTTCGTTGCCGGGCTGTTTTTCTCACGGCAGAGTTTTTTTCTCTGCAAACGCAAGCCTACCTCAATTTTAGTTTCTTTGCTGCGGCTCAGTACCAGGATGTCATGGATGAATGCCTTAAACACATCACTTTACAGTCCAACATATCATGAAAGCCATTTTGGAAACAGACCATTTCCATGGTCTGATGTGTGCTCTGTCTAAAAAAGAGCTCTTATATTCGACTTCCTTTAAAGAGTCACAGCTCTGCTTCCCAAACCACCACCCTATTTATGTAGGATAAATGTAAGACCTTGAGCCAGGAATTGAACCTGCCATCCATGAGTAAACTGCACTAGCTGTGGGCTGCTACTTACTGAAGACATCTTTAAATGTAAATGAAATGCTATGTGAGCATGATGGATTCATATATTTACTCTGGGAAGTGCAAGCACATAGAAATGAAGACTCAATAATGCCCATTTATATTGTCTTGGTTTTAAAGTGTCTTTATGAGATTGTTTCAGTTCATTTCACGTCTGCTTTTGGGAGGATTTTTTTACCACCACAGAAAAGTGAATCTAAAGAAAGCTGCAAGTACTGTATTAAGATGGCGCTCTATAATGCATCATAAAAGTGTGTGTACTTTGTGCTTTAATGCAGTATTTCCTCAGTTGCAAGTAAAACACTCCAGGTGTAAAGATGTATAAACACCATTTGAAGACAGACCTCCACTCTCCTCTCCACTCTCCAGCAGAGCAGAGTCATGCTGTTTTCTGCAGTGCTTTCTGTCTGCTGCATGAGCATAAGACGAGACTCCTAAGATGAATAATGTCTTCCCTTGTGGTTCTACCTCACTCCTTATAATCCACTCTCTACTCTGTCTCAGCAGGGTGAGACTCCCATCTAAAATAATCAGTGGGTCGGCGAATTGAAGGAGTAGAAGGCTAGAGTGAATGAGAAGTATTGGCACCTACTTTGCATTTTGTTGATATTTCATCTCACCACTAAGTTATCAATGAAACTAATATAAAACATTTTGTCAGTAGCCGTGTTTATTTCTTTTTTTCATTCACAACGTATTTTTCATTACTTTAAAAAACAGATTTATTTTGTACATGTCTAACATCTCTTTCCTTTTCCCCCTTTTTTAAATTCTGACCCCGTTCTCTCAACTCAGTATGGTGACGAGCGGGGAGGAAATGGAATAGTAGGACAAAACTACTGAAATTTGTCCAAACAAATGAAAAGCTGTGTGAGGGTTTTAGGAACAGTTGCATTTTAAATCACTGCCAGCTGGACATATCATCTGCTCATTGGCATGAGACAAAGTGTTCCACTTCAGTGGGTTAAAGGTCAAGTTGACATCCCAGATTGCTGCGGAGAGTGACACTTGTACACTAGAGATATGTATGTGTGTGTGTGTGTGTGTGTGTGTGTGTACAAAAGTGCTCATGCACATATGGTTGTTCTTGGGGAATGTATACCGGTCTCTATCTACATGTGAGATCCTGCTGCGAGGAAAGACGTAGGAAGTTTAATTTACAGTGAGAGTAACTGTGTGATGGTGATCTTTGTTAATCTGCTGCTCATCCTCTTTTCAATCACATCTGTGGCAGGGAGGTTAAATTCCCAATGTAGTACAACACTAGCACAGAGACGGAAAAGGAGAGAAAGGGAAGAAACAATGAGAACGCACTATAGAAAGGGATGATGGTGCTGGATGACGGACGGGTAAAGACATGGAGGTCAAGACACAAAGCTTAACACAGAATGTGGGTTCTGTAGTTCACAATGTCAGTACAGATTACTCACTAGAAATACATGTTTATAGATATAACTAGGTTGTTGTTTTTTTTTAAATTGTCTGATATTGGAAATGTAAAGCTTTGCTGCAAAGACCTGGTTCAGTCCTTGACTGTGGTACTTGGTGTAAAAATGCCCATTGACCACAGTTGACAGTGTAACCATTGGTGAGGAGACACATGGCTGTCTTCAACCTCCCAGGCCAGCAGAGAGGTAGACAAGGAGTGCACACAGTTTATACAAACTGGAAGGAAAAAGGGGAAAAGGCGGTGGGAGTACTAATGTTAGAGGATTCTCTTGTATTCTCTTACCTTTTCCAAAACTGAGGAATTTGTGTTGTTTGTGTTGTCTAGCAAAATACGACAGATAATCATTTTAAGCAAGACAATCGTAGATGTAAAGCTATACAGCAAAATCAATATTTTGCTGTATAGCTTGTCCCTCTGACTTCCATTAGTCTTTGTGTCATGTCTAAAAACCCAAGAGGTCAAACCACAAGCATGATCGTAACACAGTGTTTTCAAAAGGTTGGAGGTTTCCTTGCCTTCTGTTTCCTCATCCTCAGTCTTCTTGAGGTGACTCAGCACATTAAGAAACAGCTTGAAACAACAAAGCATGTAATTAACAGTAAAAATCCTTACTGCTGTGAAGTTAAATATGCATTTCTTTGTCTTCCACAGTCAACAAGCACAAGCCATGGATAGAAACATCTTACCATGGTGTGATCACAGAGAACATGGACACGGTGCTGCTGGACCCTCCGCTGGTAGCGCTGGACAAGGATGCCCCGGTCCCCTATGCTGGTAGGAAAACAAATATACACAAACACACACACACAGAAAAACATCTGATGTACAGTATCCACCCACATTTAGAAAGTATAACACATACAGTGTACACATCATCCCATACTGTATGTACGCTCTCTTACAAACACAGGAAACTTGCTCAAAAAGTCCCAAGACAGAGGGCTTGTAAATAACTAAGCAAGTATATGTATCCCACTTTTTTCCTATAGTGGATCGGGAATCAGTATGTTTTTGTTCACTGTAAGTGGATATGTTGTACTGTCTACAGCTCCGTTGCTCCAGCATCATATTATTACTTTTAAACCTTCGCGATAATTGTCTCTATACATGAAGGTCATACCCTTCTATCTTAAGGGCTCAATTTTTATATCAAACTCGTGGCCAGTACTTGGTGGTTTAAATTCACAACAGGAGGGGCTTTGAGTTGGAAGAAGGAATTACGGAGGTTTATGAAAATGCATTTATTTCCGTAACCTTGTCAGGTTTGGAGTTTAGATACATCTTCCTCACTCCCCCTGACAGGGATCTATTCAGGGCTGCTGTTAATTGAAGCCATGTGTCATCCTTTTTCTTGCTGCTGAATTGCCCCATTTAACCAGACCAACAGATTGCTCTCAAGAGTGGAAGAATATATTCCTGAGCCATATCAGCTTTCCATGATGACAATGTTCAACTTTCTAGCCTAATCTCAATCTGACACTGTGGAGCTTTCTACGAGATTAAAGAGTTACAAAGCACCGTTTTAATTTACAAAACGATAAACCACACAAGAAGCAAGACAATATATTGTTTATGTGTAATCCAGTCTGAGTATCGTACATTTCTATGATGTAACACTTGTTTGTTTTGGTCCTACAGAACCATTCATTTTGTACCATTAATGTATTAATGTTCTCATTTCATCAATTAATCTCGTAAGAAATTATTTATATAATGCCATACATAGCAACAACAGGGGCCTTGGCAAGGGGGTGTCCCCTTTAGCAGTATTTAATGGTAGTATTAGATTAGTAGATGCGCTGCATTCACTGACAGTTTGGTTACTGAGAACTTTTTGACAATGTGTTTCTACAGCCTCGTGGGTCAATACAAATCCCTGACAAATCCACGAAAAACAACTCCAGGGCAACATTTGTTTGTTTTAATCTTTTCATTGCTCCTCATATTTGGTTTCCATAAACCAGGTGCTGGGAGCGTAGTACTGACTGAAGGTTGTCTGGTTGAGTCAGGAAACACAGATACACGGTCAATAAGAACAGTACAACATCGTTATAAACCTCATCTCCAGGTGACCGTTTCGGGTGCTGATTATGTTGTCTAACACGAGCTGGAATCAGACAGCCGTCACGCAGGTACAGCAGAGCTGACGGTAACAGGAAGGAGAGAGACAGAGAGAGCTATTATAATTGGACAAAGTTTTCCGAGACTCAAAGGCAAACCAAGAGGCTTTTTGGCAGCTAACGCTTAACAGCTCATTATGGCGAAATGGCTCCTATTAATCCTAGTGCTGACAACCATGGAAAACTGATACTCAGCTTTCTTTCTCCTTATGTTTTCCTTTTTTTGTGTGAGTGTTTTTGTAATTATGACTGTAGTGCCACAGTCATAATTTAGCGTTTTTCAATGTTACATGTGAGCTGTTCTGTAAATAATGGGTAAATACGGCTGACCTTGAGGAGAAACAGCCTGGGAAGGGCTCTTTTTGTTCTTCTGTTCCCCACAGGGCCTTTAACAAGCCGGTATTGCACATATACTGCGCAGTGTAATCAAAATATGTATATTACATATGTAGATGTACTGTATGTGAATATTTAATGATCTTTTGGAGGGGTCTAGGAAGATTTACTTATCCAAAATATGAGAAAAAGAGACTATATTGTGCAAAAAATAGCTTAATCTTTCATTCATATCACAAAAGTGGAAATGCTGAAGATATACCGCACTGTCATTGTTCTTCTCTAATCAAGCACCGACTTACAGTAATTTACAGTACAAAGCTTTCCCTAGTAACCAAATCTGCGACACAGTGAAGGTTCAATGGCGCCGCAACGAGCAGCCGGACAAAAGAGGAAATTCATCTTGATTGTTTTTCTCCATGATTAACAGTTGGTTTGTTGACTCGAGAAGGTCAAACCGAGTGAAATATGGCCAGAGAGGAAAAAGCAGCGCTGTGTTCTGACTGCGGACAGGAGATATTTCTCTCTTTGTTTTTCATTGGATGTGGTCTAATGAATGAAACACATACAATCGCTACCAAGGAGACTCTGAAAAAATATGGACATCAAAAGAAAAGCTCTGTCCCAATTTATCTCCCTTTACAATTCTCTAATGCTACAGCTCTCCTTCATACATACAACAACTCCCCTCCTCCAATCTTTATCTCAATCTGTGCCTCTGTTTTTGTCTTTCTCTCCACATAGTGCCACATTCCTTCTTTCTCAACCCAACAATCCTTCGTTCTATTCTCTATCTCGACACTTTGCTCCTAGCGAGCCCATATAAAGGCAGTCACTTATGCATTGGAGACACTCTCATCAATCCTGGTTTTGTTTTACTGCAGAAAGGAGTAGGCTGTCCTTCTGGCTCCACATTAATTGCAGTGTGGGAACATGGACCAGGATTGTTAAGTACTTGCCTATTTTCTCCTCCATTGTACTTTTCTTTTGTCATAATTTATTCCCTCTCCCATCCATTGGCCCTTCACTACCCCACCTCACCTTTTTTACCGATAAATTATTTTTCTCTTTTGCTTCCTGTCTCTCGTTCTGTCTTTCCCTCTCCTGTGGTACCACATATCACTTTGATGTAAATTACCCACAGTGGGTCTAACTTGAACATTATAGGCTGAGACATGCATCCTGGAGATGAATTGTTATTATTACTGCATGCCATGATGGCATCCTCTATCCTCTGCATCCCCCTTCAACACCTCCCTTGGAGCAAAGGTGTGTGGGTCGAGGAGTATGTGCTGATCGAGCGTTCTCAATCAAATTAGCATGAGGAATGGTGGCAGTGGACTCTAGGGTGCTGCAAGGCAGTTTCATTTGCTTATTCTTTATCTCGAGGCCGCAGTCAACAGGCACAGATTCTCCCCATTCATCATGGTACTAGAATAATGTGCTGTGGTACATTGTTTCCTCTGCAGAACCCACACAAAGTAAAGGAACAAAAGTAGTTGAAAAATGGAGGGAACTGGAGAATGGATAGCTGAGAGTAAAAATGGCCGAGACAGATGGACAATGAAAATGAGAGAGGGTCATCACGGGCAGCTGTCACGAAAAAACATGTTTAATTATTCCCATTGGTTGGTTTATGTTGTGTGTGCAAACACTGGTTTGCAATTTAATGTGTTTGTCTAAACTGTAATTTTCAAGTCCAAAGTTAGTGTCTTTAATGTTCTTGAACTTGTGTTTTGAGTGTGAGACTGAATATTTTTATGGTACTTTGTTCTCGCTCATTGCCATTATCATAATCATCAGCCATTTTATCTGCTGATAGGAACTAATGAATATCTATAGTAGATTTGGTTGCGGTTCTCTACAGTGAGTGTTACATTATGTGGCCAGTGCAGACAGCTGTATTGATTAGAATTTAACGGTATCTATTCTATCAGACACTTATGAGATGGAGAAATGCTGCGACAGCCTGTAAGTTCAACTTCCATTTTTTTCCCATTTTTGGCACACTTCAACTGTTTTTGTACTGCATATCAATAAACTGCCTCTGGTCAATAGTGTGGTAAATTTCAGGCACATTTTTCAACAGACTTCTTGTGTTCTAATATCAATCTCTACCATATATAAAAGGAGGCATGTTTGGGATGCATTATAGGGATGCACTATCATAATATTCTGTGCAATGTTTTGTGCAGCTGTTTTTCCAACCGGATGTTTTGGATTGTATTTTATGTCTTGACGATACCTGAAGCAACACACCCAGAGTCTGAATGCCTGCTTATTAACGGAATTGTAATACAACACTGTAGCTGAAAATACATACGGTATCTGGTGGTGAGAACACAAAAGTCGTAAGATATTTTTCATTACATTTCTTGCATTGATTATGATCAAAATTCAGGCAGCATCAGGCCAACATTGAGATTTTGGATTTTGAAAGCTCTCCCATATCTCAGAAGTCTGACAAATATAGTCTGGTCAAGTAAAATGACCCACAATGTTGTGTCAAGAACACTCCATTCATCACTTTGTGTGCAAGGAGGCATGTTTGAGATGTCTTTGCTGGACCTTTTTTTCATACTCCAAACCTCTTGGTCACAACTTGATGAATCTGACTTCACTTAGATGATATTGACATAAGATATTATTGCCTCAGTCAAACTGTGGCTGCAGGTTTGAATATGCTAACATATTACAAACTCAATAGTTTCCATTATTTTAGAAAGTTTCTTCCAACTTCCATCCGGTTCCTGTGCTGAAAAAAAAACTAAGAAAAAATAGACACATTTTTGTCAGTGCCAGTCATCCTATTTTTACCAAACAGTCAAAATCCAGTTATTGCTTGTGGTATGATATGGAAAACATGTGACTCATTATCATAAGTTCAAAGCCAGTGGTGAGCAGGATATTTGAAAGGCATACTATTTGAATTATGTGCAAATGCATTTTTTACAATACCTGACTTGTTTATGAGTCACAGTGAGGGATGTTTGAATAATTGTAAGTGAAAAGTTTAAATATTCCTGCCGTTTTGTCAGGAGCAATCGCATCATTTTCTGGCAGTTGCTGCAACGAAGACATAAACAAGAAATCGTAACTTTCTCATACATAATTAAATCAGCTTGGCGGATAGACAAGCTGTCGTCACTTCCTAATGCTCTTTTGCTTGGAGTTGTATTGTCTTTTTTCCTTTTTACGGAAACAATTCTACCGTGACAATAACAGCCCCAAAAAAAATTTCAATTGCATAAGAACAGCAGAATTGCATATTATTACGTTCTAAAAAGAGAGACAGGACATTAACAGTAGAATGAAAAA